TTCATTTGCCCACCCCCTGTGCTGCTCCTTCCCCCCCCCCCCCCCTGTTTTGTTTTTTATTTTGTTTTGTTTTGTTCTTCTCTCTCTTACTCTCCCCCCCCCCTTTCTTTTTTTTTTTTTTCTCCGCTCTATGGCTTCTTTTCTTCATTTCTGACTAACCTCTGCATGCATTGGTCAACTACCCAAAGGACAATTAGCTATGATGACAGAATCACTTCCCCTTTCATACTAGCAGTATACTTGATCACACACATTCTCACACCCGCGCTCAGACGCCTCCACCACTTTCAACTTATAGCACTGACTCTGGCTTAGACGTCGTTTGCGTTCTCTCCCCGCTGCAGATCCACACTTTGTGACGTTATCAGAGGAGGTCTGGGGCCTCCTGGCCTAACGCATTTCATTACAAGCGTTCTAATGTATTTCAGGCACTACCGTGTCGTGGTTTAGTTACCCCACACTGCTTTGTTTTTGTTTTTGAAATTGTACTTGTTTTCATGCACTCTTGACTGGATGTGTGTGTTGCTAATTGTCTTTCTCACATTTCATGTTTATCTTAGCTTATTATGTCAATCTGTATTTCACAATAAACATTATTTTTTTGGAAAAAAAAAAACAAAAAAACAAAGTGAACCAATAAAAGTTTGGGGTCGCTTTCATATATAAGATATTTGTATTACAAATAAACATTTAAGATGTGGTCTGTCCATGACCCAGAACACACAAAAAAAAAAAAAAAAAGGCCTGAATTATGTTACAGGTTTAATATTTCTGGATATTATGTCTTCCCTGACCTCTGGTATTGGGCTGACATCCAGTACCTGCACATTATATTCATGGGCTTCTTCAATGGGGCAAAGGTGAATCCTTCATTTTTTGAAAACCTTTTTAGAACAGCTTCTAAGCCAAAGGGACTAGTGTCCTCCTTCTATATCCAATGCACTCAGACAAAGGATCGCAGTAACTTTACTCTATATGACCTCTTGGTAAGCTGACAAAGAAGCCCCTATTTTTTCCTCAGGAGTGGAATAGAATATGGGAGGAAGCAGAAAAAAAAACTTTTTTTAAAAAAAAATGATATTTAAACTTCTCTTGTTTGTTCCCTTTTAGTCTTTTGAATATACAGGTGAAAGGTTTTTTTTTTTTTTTTTATCACTTATCAGACAGATATAGAAAAACAAAGAACCTGTTGATATCTGTAAGAAATATCAGGCACTGATAACTTCCTGTTCTCTCTGCTTGTTCTACATGCTTATTAGTTAGCATTGTGACTTGCAACCCTCCCCTTGTTATGGAGAAGAAAACAAGAGGAGGAGGTGTTCTGTAGTCCTGCCCAAGTGTTGCAACACTGGGGTATAAAGATCACTGTGTGTACAGTGCCTTGAAAAAGTATTCATACCCCTTTTGAAATTTTCCATATTTTGTCATATTACAACCAAAAACGTAAATGTATTATATTGGGATTTTATGTGATAGACCAGCACAAAGTGGCACATAATTGTGAAGTGGAAGGAAAATGATAAATGGTTTTCAACATTTTTTACAAACAAATATCTGAAAAGTGTGGCTTGCGTTTGTATTCCGGCCCCTTTACTCTGATTTTCCTAACTAAAATCTAGTGAAACCAATTGCCTTCAGAAGTCACCTAATTAGTAAATAGAGTCCACCTGTGTGTAATTTAATCTCAGTATAAATACAGCTGTTCTGTGAAGCCCTCAGAGGTTTGTTAGAGAACATTAGTGAACAAACCACATCATGAAGGCCAAGGAACACACTTGACAGATCAGGGATAAAGTTGTGGAGTAGTTTAAGGGCCAGTTCACAGATGCAGAAAAGAAAAGTAGAACAGACTGCATTTTTCCTGCACAGAACCGTACTGGAACGCAGTAAAACACATAAACGCACTCGAATGCACATGCCCCTATTTAAATTGAAGAAAAAGGGGAAAAATTACTGGAACACATCAAAAACGCACTAGAACGTGTGAAAAACAAATGCAGAAATGCATGCAGAACGCATCTGGACTGCATTTCCATAGTGTGAACCAACCCTAAAGCAGGGTTAGGTTATAAAAAGAGTATCCCAAGCTTTGAACATTTCATGGAGCACTGTTTAATCCATCATTCGAAAATGGAAAGAGTATGGCCTAACTGCAAACCTACCAAGACATGGCCATCCACCTAAACTGACAGGCCAGACAAGGAGAGCATTAATCAGAGAAGCAGCCAAGAGGCCCATGGTAACTCTGGAGGAGCTGCAGAGATCCACAGCTCAGGTGGGAGAATCTGTCCACAGGACAACTATTAGTTGTGCACTCCATAAATTGGCCTTTACGGAGGAGTGGCAAGAAGCAAGGTCATTGTTGAAACAAGGCCATAAGAAGTCCTGCTGCAGTTTGCGAGAAGCCATGTGGGGGACACAGCAAATGTGAAAGAAGGTGCTCTGGTCAGATGAGACCAAAATGGAACATTTTGGCCTAAAAGCAAAACACTATGTGTGGCGGAAAACTAACACAGCACATCACCCTGAACACACCATCCCCACCGTGAAACATGGCGGTAGCAGCATCATGTTTTGGGTATGTTTTTCTTTAGCAGGCACAGGGAAGCTGGTCAGAGTTGATGGGAAGATGGGTGGAGCCAAATACAGGGTAATCTTAGAAGAAAACCTGTTCGAGTCTGCAAAAGGCTGCAGACTGGGGCAGAGGTTTTATCGCAGCACACTGAACAGGATCACATGTCACGGTATAGCAGCTCAGTGCAGTACAGTGTCACTTTGTGCACTTCAATTAAGCATGCTCAAAAAAAAAAAAATAACAAAGGGACTGAATCATGCACTACCATGCCCCCTAGCACCAGCTCCCTCCTTTCGGAACAGACAGCTGTTGAACAGTTTAGTGTGGACGGGCCCTATATCCATATTGTCTCCTAATTACTTTTTATAAATTTTCACTCTAGTCAATCTTTTGGTAGTAATTGGAGGCCACAAAAGTAATACCTTTCAATTGAATAACTTCAAATTGTTGAATGGGGGCATCTCGCAACTGCCTGCTGATAAAACACCTCCTCGCCACCTGTCAAATGCTCTTTGAAGAGCAATTAAAACGTTGATTGCTCTTCAGAGGGAAACACTAGTGTAAACTAAGCCTAAAACCCCTGCTCTCCTCCGCATATATAGGATCAGTAAATCAATATATATTTTGCATGGTATAAGTTCTATACCCAGCACTCCCAGCAAACAAATGAAAAAATCCTAGCAAGCCATGAAAAAGCTGCCAAGCTAGGTATAAACCTCGTTTTTCATGGCTCTTCCAGTCAGGAGGAGAAAAAAACAGGTTATTAAACCAAATATAGTGTAATTATACTTTAAATCATGTCTAGACCCAAGACAAAATGTAATATATTGCAGCTTATCAGTACGTTTTATTTCCACATGGTGATCCTGCCAGTAACCTGCTTCCTGTCCTAGGGAGACGGCACTCGCTCACTGTACTGTATCTATGGAGGAATAGCATTGTCACACTAGTGCAGGGAGTGTTAGATCACCCGAGGATAGAAAATGTCGGGACTACAAAACACAACCCACTCTTCCCTTCTCTACAACAGAGGGGATGTGTTCTGTTTAGAGTTTTTGGGAACAATGCTAACTGATGAGTGCCTTAAAGGAAGAGCTCACAAGATTTCTGACAGAATGAACAGATATTCTTTTGCGCTTGCTGAGCAGACACAATAAAATGCTTCTAATGCTAGATTTAAAGGATAAGTTCACTTTTTGGAACATGTTAGATGTTACACCCATATTCAGGGTGTAACATGTTACCAAAGGACCGCTCCCCCCGATCCCCCGTTGATCTCCCACCGCTAGCTGTCACAATTTTATAAAGATGTGGCCTGCCCAGCCATGTCACTCATTCACAGTATTCTGTGAATTGGAAAACTACAAGTTCCGACATCCTTTGCAGCTGTTGGCTTGTAGTTCTCAATTAACTACCATGGTGCTGTTGAGCGCTGTGATAGTTCATTGATTCTTCTTGTCAGTGTGTATGCGCTTGCCTGTACAATGTACGATTACACAGATACACTGACAGATCTGCAGGAGTCTTGCATGGCACCCGCGATCTGCTGAACACTGTGTATTGCTTTCTAGGCTTCCAAAACTACAAATCGTAAATGCATTTTTTTTTTCCAGCAAAAAAATTTGCATTTATTATTTTTTGTTGAAAGGTGATCTTGTCCTTTTTAATAGACCAAAAGGCGGCAAGCAAGAGTAGTTCATTGTTAGGGTTTACCTACCCTTTAAACTGTATATCCTCACACAAGTCAACTCCTTTCTCAAGAAAATGATTTATTGCTCTCCAAAATTTATCTTGATTAGTCAGGGTGTTTTCGTTCTCTACCACCGCAATTTCAATCTTATTGTGGCCTCCTTTTCTGTTTTGTGGCTTCAGTATACATTTATGGTCACTTGGTGGTGCTGTAATTTCTTTGTTATTACATCCGCACAGATACAAAGCTATTAAACCATTTATGTTTTTATTTTACTATTTTTTTTCCATTAGCTAGATGGAAAGCTGAGGTAGTAGTGATGTGCTTTTTAAATATAATACACACAGATTAAACACATTTTTTTCATTACACAGAAAAGTCCATTTTTGACTAATAGAAAATGACTTTTTTTTATATTTACAAATAAAAGCAGCTTTCCTTTGGTCTATATGGTAGCAGGACTAGACCTCACTCTTGTGGTTGTTAATTGCCTTTCTATAGCTCAGGGCTGCAACTAAATTGGCTTCTTATCATGTGTTCTGCACTAATGCATTTACTTGCTGATTCCTCTGTGGCTTGAGTGGTGACCTGTCAGAAGTGGGCAAGATAAAATATGACAAAAGAAGTAGATAAAATCTGGCCATGGTTTCTGAGGAAAGTGAAATTCCTGAACTGTTGATTTTAAATGCATCCGTTTTCAGAAAAGTATACTGTGTTTTGTCTGTTTTCTGTTAGGAAAAGAATCTAGATGATAGAGCATATCGAAACATTAAAGAGCTGGAAACATACGCAGAGAACACACAGAGCTCCTTGCTGTACCTGACCTTGGAAACACTCGGTAGGTACTAAAAATATATTGTATTTAAACTGGAACTTTAGTTAGAAAATTAAGTTCTCATTGATTACTTCAGGTTGGCTCCTTTTGCGGGTATAGCTATGTAAAACATTAAAAATAGGTGCCTATACTGTTTAAAATACAGTAGTACCCGGTCTCACCCTGCTCTGCACATGCATGCTTAGTTGCTCTATTTTTTTGTCACTGCTGAAAATATAGAGGCCAATCTGCTGATAGCCTAAAGGTTTACTGCTGCTCATGGGCTCTGGGCTTCAGCAAAATAGCAGCCTCCAGCAAGAAGAAATGGGAACAATGCTGGAGGCAATTTACAGCACACTTTAACTTTGGTAGCATAATTATTAATGTAATAGAGGAAAAACAATGTACGCTACCACAAAATTAAAATATGTAAATTATATATTTTATACATAATATTATATTATTATATACATAAGCTGCTGCAATAACACTTCAAAGTAAATACAAAATAATAACAATAGTGTTGCACTAACTGTTATCATTAATATATATAAAAATATTGTACAAGGATGACCATAATAATCGATGTAAATCAATCAATACATAACAAATCTAAGCAGCCTTCCTATTCCTAGGTGGAGGGGCACTTATTTCTTATTGTGGTGGAGCACTGTCAGTTGAAGTGGTGGAGCACCATTTACTGAAGCGCATTATTTATAATTTTTAGGACTGTTTAAACATTTAAGGACTTTATTTTCACTTCAACATTTATTTGTTATGTATTGATTACATCGATTATTATTGTCATCCTTATACAATATATATATATATATATATATATATATATATATATATATATATATATATGTGTATGTATGTGTGTGTGTGTGTGTATGTGTATATATATATATATATATATATATATGTATATATTAATGATATAGAGCATTTTATAATTATTAATATGGAATGTATGTTCCTTGCTAAAGAACATTATTTTTATCAAGTTGTTATGGGTAAAGTTCTGCTTTAAAACTTCCTTCTTTCCTCCATTGTTTACAGTGCCTTGAAAAAGTATTCATACCCCTTGAAATTTTCCACATTTTGTCATGGTACAACCAAAAACGTAATTGTATTTTATTGGGATTTTATGTGATAGACCAACACAAAGTGGCACATAATTGTGAAACGGAAGGAAAATGATAAATGGTTTTCAAAAATTTTACAAATAAATATCTGAAAAGTGTGGCGTGCATTTGTATTCATCCCTCGTGAGTTAATACTTTGTAGAACCACCTTTGCTGCAATTACAGCTACAAGTCTTTTTGGGTATGTGTCTACCAGCTTTGCACATCTAGAAAGGGACATTTTTCCCTATTCTTTGCAAAATAGCTCTAGCGCTGTCAGATTGGATGGAGAGTGTCTGTGAACAGCAATTTTGAAGTCTTGCCACAGATTCTCACTTGGATTTAGGTCTGGGCTTTGACTGAGCCATTCTAACACATGAATATTCTTTGATCTAAACCATTCCATTTGTGAAAGAATGGGTCGCTCTCAGGAGCTCAGGGAATTTAAGCGTGGTACCATGATAGGTTGCCACCTGTGCAATATGTCCATCCATTACATTTCCTTCCTACTAAATATTCCACGGTCAATTGTTAGTAGTATCATAACAAAGTGGAAGCAACTGGGAACAACAACTCAGCCATGATGTGGTAGGCCACGTAAAATGACCGACTGGAATCAGCACATGCTATAGAGCACAGTGTGCAGAAGTCGTCAACTGTCTGCAGAGTCAATAGCTAAAGACCTTCAAACTTCATGTGGCCTTCAGATTAACACAACAACAGTGCATAGAGAGCTTCATGGAATGGGTTTCTATGGCCAAGAAGCTGCATCCAAGCCTTACATCACCAAGTGCAATGCAAAGCGTCAGATGCACTGGCGTGAAGCACGCCACCACTGGACTCTAGAGCAAGGGAGACGTATTCTCTGGAGTGAGGACTCAACACTTCTCTGTGTGGCAATCCGTTGGACATGTTTGGTGTTAGCGGTTACCAGTAGAACAGTACTTGCCTGACTGCATTGTGCCAAGTGTAAAGTTTGGTGGAGGGAGGATTATGGTGTGGGGTTGTTTTTTGGAGGTTGGGCTTGGCCCCTTAGTTCCAATGAAGGGAACTCTTAAGGTGTCAGCATAACAAGACATTTTGGACAATTTCATGCTCCCAACTTTGTGGGAAGAGTTTGGGGATGGCCCCCTCCTGTTCCAACATGACTGCGCACCAGTGCACAAAGCAAGGTCCATAAAGACATGGATGAATGAGTTTGGGGTGGAGGAACTTGACTGGCCTGCACAGAGTCCTGACCTCAACCCGATAGAACACCTTTTGGGATGAAATAGAACGGAGACTGTGAGCCAGGCCTTCTCATTCGACATCAGTGCCTGACCTCACAAATGCGCTTCTGGAAGAATGGTCAGACATTCCCATAGACACACTCCTAAACCTTGTGGACAGCCTTCCCAGAAGAGTTGAAGTTGCTATAGCTGTAATATTGAACCTACGAACTAAGACTAGGATACCATTAAATTTCATGTGCGTATAAAGGCAGGCGTCCCAATACTTTTGGCAATATAGTATATATGTGTGTGTGTGTGTGTGTATGTATATGTGTGTGTATATATATATATATATATATATATATATATATATATATATATATATATATAGACCACTTGTGGAGAGCTTCAGAAAGACCTGAAATTAGTAGGTAAAATTGTTTCAAAGAAAACCGTAATGTACTCAACCACCATGGCCTGTATGCATGCTCACTTAATTTCTGAACTTATTTTTTTTTTAATTTTTTTTGTATGTATCGATTGCATGGGTTGTTACCGACATATGATGAAAATTTATAAATATATTTAGTGAAAAAAGGTGACATGTTCAATGCTTATTTTACCCTCTGTATATGCACACACATATACATTATATGTTCCCAATGGTAGCCACGGAACTCTGAGGTAAATGCCCAGGTGCTCACCCACAAAGAAATTCGTACAAATCCAAAACTGGTAAAAATGCTGCTATTTTAATTTGAATATCTAACCTTCTATATCTCTGTGAGAGACTGTCTATCACACCTGTAGATTTCAAACTGAATTTGTGCTGTATAAATGCCTAGACAAGCCAGGGACCACTTGAGAATGAATCCTCTTGGAATCTCCTGCACAATGCAGACAAGAGATTTGACCCAGAAATAAGTATTCATAGCACTTAAGTGGCTTTGAATGACTGCCATAAACAATGTATTGTATTGATGTTTGGTGTGGTATTTACATCACAGCTTGAACATTCTTTTTTAATTGTTTGTTTTTTTTGAAGGGCAAGCATTACATTGTTCACTAAGTATCTTATTTGCAAATCATATCTTTAGAAGAAAAAACTATAGACAGCGTAAAGTCTCATATCTAAATAAAATAACTAACATATGCAGTACATCTCTGCAGTACATGCACATTTTCCCTTTTAAAAATGCTACAAGTACAGAAAAATTATTTTCTGCCAGAAATGCACTCAGCTCCTAACTTTCTGTATGAGCAGACAGCACAGTGCCACTTCTGCACTGAAATACCAAGCAGTGCTATTTATTTTTTTAAATTTTATTTATTTCAGGTACTTGTATAGTGCTGTCAGTTTACGCAGCGCTTTACATATATATTGTACATTCACATCAGTCCCTAACCCTCAAGGGGTGTACAATCTAAGGTCCCTAACTCACATTCATTCATACATACACATACTAGGGCCAATTTAGACACGGGCTAATTCACCTACCAGCATGTCTTTGGAGTGTCGGAGGAAACCCACGCATGCACAGGGAGAACATGCAAACTCCAGGCAGGAGGTGCCGTGGCTGGGATTTGAACCAACGACCCTAGTACTGCCAGGCGGAAGTGCTAACCATTTAGCCACTGTGCTGCCCAGCTTAATTATATGAACTACAAAACACCTCCCCTTCTTTTATGGATGATGACGAAAAGGTAAGGTGTTCTGTATTTTCATAAAAAGGGAACCAGACAAGATTGAAAACAAGTTTGGGATTTCAGTATAGCAGAGGCACTGTGTTGCTAGTTCAAGTAAGTTTTAACAGTAAAAGCAGCTGAGAAGCTGTTTTTTCCCTGATTCCTGTTAGACAGTTGTGGAGGATTGGGAGGAATAAAGCAGGATGTTTACATTATTTCCCTAAGCTCCTGCAGATGGAGCAGTGTGTTCTCGAGTTGAAGGGCCATTGGCTGCGCTAGGCATAGCTTTATCACTGATAGGGCTATAAAATGTACCAGCATTCAAGCAGCTGCAGCAGCAACACTTCGGTGATTTCAATGCAGATGGGAGAGTGCTGTCACGCTATCAAAATAGCTATCTGATGGATCTACTGGCAAGATCAACAGCTATTTACAAAATGAGACACAATCAAAAAAGCCCTTAAACAAGAGTTTGACCTTGGCTGTAATTTAATCAAACTAGCCTGTGTTGTTACCAGAAATCAATCAACTGGTTTACACTGCCATTAGCCATTGCAGTGATGATGGTCATTCATTAAACTATCCTCTTGTTCAAAAGTCCACGTCTTATCTCCGGATAAAAAAGACTGAACCTGTAGTCACGCGCACATGCTCAGTTTTGTGTGTATTGCTACAGAGGTTTTGTTTTTTTTTTCTTGGGAGAGTGCATGTGATCAGCACAGGGCCAATCAGCACTGTCCAGACAGGGGGTCAGGGGTTTTGCATTCTCCTAGAGCAGAAAGAAAACTCCTCCTACAAGCTTTAACCAGTGCTCTGCTGAAGTCACAAGACTGTTCTAACTGCTGATGAGAAAAGGTATTTAGCAGTTTATATTTACCAAAATAATTGCACTTCCATGCTCTGTGTACTGTGGGAGACCAGATATAGTGAATACAGGGTCTGGGGTTTAGTAACACTTTAAAGAAATTGAATTGCTGCTGCTGCAACCAAAAGTGCAGTAATGTATTTCCTTTTCTGATATGAACTCAATAATTTAAAGGGGTGTCCACATAATTTTTGTACATACAGTAGGTGTTACATAGTTAGTCTAAAAAAAAAGAAAAAAAAAGTTATAATTCTACACCCACAGGTGATCCAGAGGAAGGCAAAAAAATCCCAACAAAGCATGATCCCAATTTGCTCCTGCAGGGAAAACAAATTCCTTCCTGATCCCCCGAGAAGTGGTCAGATATTCCCTGGATCAACTTTACCTATAAATGTTAGTATCCAGTTATATTCTGTGTATCTAAGAAAGAATCCAGGACTTTTTTAAAGCAATCCACTGAGCTGGCCAGAACCAAATCTTGAGGGAGTCTATTCCACATTTTTACAGCAATCACTATGAAGAAACCTTTCCATGTTCTGGAGATTACATTTCTTTTTCCTCCAGACCTAAAGAGTGTTTCAGCTTCTCATTACGGATCGATGATTTTACCTGACTGATATCTTTGGTTGACGGGGTATCCTCCATCTATGTCTGAATCAGATGCTCGTGTTTTTTTCATTGGCCTTATATGAAGTCAACAGGAAGAAAGGTCAGCCGCACACCGGAGCATTGATGAATATCGTGTATATTTATTGATCCACAGGACACCCAAAACACCAGGACATGAATACAGGACCTGTTAACACGTTTCACATGATCTCGCGCTTAATCATATTGGTTATGATTAAGTACGAGATTGTGTGAGATTTTTGTCAAATTTGTATCAAGCATGGTATGCCTTTTTTTAAAAGTAATCTGTCTATATGTTATGTTCCACCATTCTGTTGGCTCCTTTTTTATTAATAAAGTGGTTATTGTTATACCAGTTTTTTTTTTTTCTTTTTTACTTATTTTCTTTTAAAACCCCATTAGCTTTTTTAGTTGGGGTTTTCATTTGCAGTGCCCCCTTGTCCTCTGTGATGACCTCAGGGTGAATAACTCTACACCGAGTCTACTATATGAACCGCTGATGTATTTATACATGTTGATCATATCCCTCCTCAATCGCCTCTTCTCAAGAGAGAATTAATTCAGCTCCTCTAATCTTTCCTCATAGCTGATCTCCTCCATGCCTCGTATCAGTTTGGTTGCCCTTCTCTGTACTTTCTCCAGTTCCCTAATGTTCTTTTTGTGAATTGGTGCCCAAAACTGAACTGTATATTCCAGATGAGGTGTTACTAATAATTTGTACCGGGGTAATATGATATCTCTCTCTCTGGAGTCTATACCTCTTTTAATACAAGAGAGGATTTTGCTCGCTTTAGAAACTGCAGCTTGTCATTGCATGCCATTATTAAGCTTGTGATCTACCAGAACTCCCAGATCCTTCTCCACCATTGATTCCCCCAGCTGTACCCCACCCTTCCCCCCCCCCAGCATGTATGATGCATGCATATTCTTAGCCCCCAAGTGCATAACCTTACATTTATCAACATTAAACCTCATTTGCCACATAGTTGCCCAATTACACAGTGCATTGAGGTCGGCTTGTAAGTTGGAGACATCCTGTAAGGACATTATTCCACTGCACAGCTTGGTGTCACCTGCAAAGACTGAAATAGGATTTATAATCCCAGACTCTATATCGTTTATAAATATATTAAGTTAGGGTCCCAACACTGAACCTTGTCAGATGTCTACTAGCTTTTGTCCATCATGTATCTTAGTGTTCATTACAACATAAACTACATTTAAACATCAATACATCAAATAATGGATGTATATTCCTCCCCTCTTCTGCAGATATTAAAGATGTTCACGCGGACCATGCTGCCAGTCACGTTGGCAAAGCACAGGGTATTGTCACATGTTTGAGAGCCGTTCCTTTTCACAGCAGCCGGCGGCAGGTATTCCTGCCTGTTGACATCTGCATTCTGGTGAGTACGTACAGTACATTCATTCAGTAAAGTTGTGTGTTCCATGTAAAGGCTAAGTACCTTGTCATGGACACCTTCAAGTGCTGGTAGAAATGGAATTATTTAACCACAATGTGCATTTTTTTCATTCTGTTCAGTTTTTTTTCTTTATAGTTTTATTTTTTTAACGACTGTTTTTATAATGGAACCATGCGTTAGGCGGCTTTCTCAATAATTTTGTCCTTTTTCCAAGAGTGGTTGTCATGGGAACATCCTGGGATTTCATTAAAATGGAGGAAAAAAAGAAAAAGCTTACATGCCATAATAATTTGTGTATGGTTTTAAGAATGACAAGTCCTTTCAATTTGTCACTTTCTGTCTGGACTTCATAATCCTCCACTAGGTCAGAAGGGGAGACTAATCTTTTAACTCTACTTTGCCCATGGCTGAGTAGACCAATGTTACCTGCATTGCTGTTGGAGCTTCTGATTGGATTTTTAATTTATTAACTTGAGACTCGAGGGGTTACAGTTTTGCTTGGTGCATCTGAGAAATTTTCTCATCAACAGTCAACTGCCGTCCCGTATTCTTGAGTAACTACATCTTCAGGTTGAATGTAGAGAGCTTGGAAAAGTGTGTTAATCGCTTGGAATTAACTAGTTGTCTGCAGTAATTTGCCATAATATGTGATCTGATCCTTTGTTAGTTAGGGACCTTTAGATTGTAAGCTCCTTGAGGGGGGGGGGACTGATGTGGATGTACAATATATTTGTAAAGCACTGTATAAATTTTTATGGCGCTATGTAAGTACCTATAATAAATAAATATTACCCAAGTCACAGCAGTAGACAAACACAATGTACTTAAGCTGATAACACACAAACAATTCTAAATTCTTGAACACATCCATTAAAAATTCACAGTGCTGAAGGAGAAAAGTAAGTGAACCTTTGGAGTAAATAGCTGGTCAAACCTCCTTTGGTAGCAGAGGCTTCAAGCATGCACTTTCAGTAGCTCTGGATCTGACCTGCTCAACGATCAGGAGGAATTTTTGACCATTCCTCTTTATAAAACGGTTTCAGCTCAGACACAATTGTAGGATGACTGGGGTAAACTGCTCTGTTGAGGTTATTCCACAGAATCTCTATGAGGTTAAGGTGTGGGCTCTGACTGGGCTACTCCAAAGGTGCATTTTCTTTTTCTAAAGCCAGTCTGGTGGATTTCCTTCAATGCTAAGGGCCATTGTCCTGCTGCATTAATTACTGCAAAAAAACAGTTAATTCCAATGGATTTACCTACTTTTTCTTGCTATTGTATTTATTCAAATTTCTTTATATAGTTTTTTTGGTTCAGCTATTAGAATTACCTTAGGTCTGTCTTTTCAGTGGTTTGGCACACACTGCATGAAAGCTGGTCAGCGGACTCACCACAAAGTAACCTTTTCTGAAAGCTGATAGACTACATATCTCATGATACCTTGCTGCCTGCAAACAGTGATTCCTGTAATGACATCACATCTTAATACTCCTCCTCTCAGTGTCTGTAGTTCAGCAGGCAGGTTCTATGAATTCTGTGACACAGCAGTGCCTACTCACAGGGCATAGTAAATACCTGTTACAAAATTCAAGGAATTAAATGTGTAGGGATCGTCACAAAGTAAATTTAAAACTACAAAATTGTTAATTGAAATACAGCATGGAAATGAATATGTGATTTTACACTTTGACCATCTCCCATTGCCCTCTGAGGCTAAAAAAAAAATAAAGCAAATACCTTGCCCTGGAGAAACTAAACTGATGCTGACTGGATTTTCTGGGCTGATGAAGTACTTGCAAGCTCAAGTGACATTGTCATTCTTACATCATGCATTGTTGTTGAGCTAAGTCTTTGAAATGGTGCGAATTCAAGTGAAATCTCAGGATTTCAAAGTTGCATGTCAATGTGACTTCAGGTGTGACTTGGAGGAATGTCTATGCAAGTTGCACCTGAACTTGCAAAAAGTAGCACATTACCAACTTTCAAAATCGGTACGACTCCGACAGAGTCAGAGCCGCAACGATTTCTATTGCGGACAATAGGGTGTGACGTGTCATGCGATTTGAAAGGATCAAATCACATGACAATTCGCATCGGTGTGACCAGGGACTCAAGATGTTAAATATCTCTATAAGCAAACCCTGCAACCTATTAGGCTAGGTTCACACTGCTGCTATATGATTTTGAGCCAACTTTCAGTGTGATTATGTAGTTTTACTTGGATGCATCTTAGATACAATTTTGATAAGGTTTGTATATTCTATGGGACCAAGATCACACTGGAATTACACCAAATAGTACAGGAACCTTTTCCAAAATCACTCCGTGATGAGATGTGAATGAACAGCGTTGAAAACAATGTGATTTCCGTTGTTATGTGATTCTGTATGATTCAAGTCGCATCTGAAATTGCACTAGTGTGAACCAGATACCAACAACTGTGAACCAGAAGGACCTGCCTGATTGGGTACAAATCGGATGTATTTTTTACACAGGATTTTAAAGGCGATTGTAAAATCAGATTGTAACGTACAGTAAATTGTAATCTCATTGGATACAACCAGTTCTTTCTGTTTGTTTTGGTGACTGTTTATCTGTATGAATCTCCTGAGTATTTTGAGCCTGAAATTTGAAAAGAATCCTGTAAATGAGTAAACTCTTTCTATATTCAAGTCTATGTAATGGACGGGTAATTCATCAACACATCCTGCTCTGTGATTAATCTCAATATTCTGCATTTGTGGGAGATTGCTAGCTTATTCAGACCACAGAAAATTTCAGATGGCCCTAAATCCCCCCCCCTCCCCCCCCCCCCCCCCCCATGGGAACAAGTATTGGGTTACATAGAACCCCTACTCATTCACTGTTCGTCCACCTGAACGACAAAATAAAACCTCTGACCTGCAGTGATGCTTTGCTCCCATCGAATGACGGCTCCAACACCTCCCAACGCTAAATAAACGAACGGGCAGGGACCCCCGATTTCCCCCCCCCCTTTTCTGGACAGCCTGGCTGCATGCTTAGATAAGGATCTGATATGGACTTTGGGGGGGATCCGACGCCATTTATTTATTTTTTCAATGTTGGCATGAGGTTCCCCTCAAAAGCCATGCCAGAACCGAAAGGCCTCATGTAGATTGGGGAGGAGGGGACCCCGCATACAGAGTTTTTTTGTTTCATTTTTTATGTTGGCAATTCTTTTGTTTGCATTTTGCTGTCAGCAGAGAATCCTGCTGACAGCAGATGAGTCATGGTTGTTAAGGACGCTACAGATTCTTGCTCCTTAACAACTAGCTGTTTACTGGCTGTTAAGGACACCAGCTATTGCTGGCGCTAAAATATTGCTAGCTTTCACTACTAAAATATTGTATCGCTTCATAAAATAACTCGTGCGGTATTTTAGTAACTTTTTTTGTGAATTGCAAAAACATTTTTGAAAAACGCTAAAAGTTGTTTTACTGCGGATCTTATAACCATAGATACTGCTGTGTGAATGAAGCCCAATATCATTATCACAAGTAGTCATTTTTGGTATTGGTAGTGATTCTTATTGCTCCTGTTGTTGAGTCCTTTGATTACAACAAGGGGATGTAGTACTGCAATTCTTGTAGTATTTTTGCAGACCTCAGATGTGGGGCTCCCTCAAACTTTAATTCTCTAATATACACGTCACATTACTTCCCACTGCTACATAGGCAAAAACTGCACCTTTCCTCTTCTATGAATGAGTTCCTAATTACATTCAGTTCACGTTCTCACACCTTGGTTTAGTTACCTGATGTTCTTAAAATCATCAGAAATGTATTTATTGATCAACCTTCTCATTTTAAAGTTAATTGCTTTTAAAACAGATATAATGGACACAAATGAATTTGATTTGGTTTTACCTTCTTGCAATCCCTGTACAGCAGAGCACAGCCGGAGACAGGCAGAAGCAGCACAGGGATCCAGTAATTTTGTGCTGCAGTGTTCCTGTGCATGTTAAGTAAGCCGATATCGCTGCTGTTCGTCATTTCACTGTCCACTCACAGGCAGGGGGAGGGATAGTCATGCAAGTGTTACCTAATGTACAAGTTCCCTTTCTTCTTTTTTTTTTTTTTTTTTATTTTATTTAACCCAGCACCACTGAAAGGGGCATGATAGTGCTTCAGTGCTAGTACTGAAGTTTTGCTGACTGCTCTGCAGACATCACAACAGTTGCCAATATCTAAGATATTAAAGCGGAGTTCTGCCCCCTCTAAAAAAAATAAATGAAGTCGGCAGCTACAAATACTGTAGCTGCTGACTTTTAATGTTAGGGCACTTACCTGTCCAGTTATCCAGCAGTGTCCCCACCTCTAGCTGATTCCTCAAATCGACTGTCAGGTGCTGGCCTGGGGCAGTTTGTTTCTACAACAGTAGGGAGACTAGTCCATAGTGGCAGCAGGAAGTGTACATGCAAAGGTGGCTCCATGGGACCCTGTAAAGAAATTGCAACCACTTGAAGACAGAAAACAGGATAGAGGGATTTTAGAGTCATCAAATGCCAGGCAACAACAGGATATAATCAAAAACTACCTTCAAGCATGGTAAGTGATGAGGAGGTTTCTTCCTCTGTTGATCTGAAGTTATAGTATTTATTGGAGAAGTCCAGTCTGCACATATGGATCCTTGAGATTTTCACCTATGTGATCAGCATAAATGCTACTTTACCAGTAGCTTTCTGCTTTTCTCTTTAGGAGGATTCCCCCTCTTTTGATCTGAAGTTATACTAGTACTTATTGAAGAAGTCCGGTCTGCACACATGGATCCTTGAGATTTTCACCTATATGATCAGCATAAATGCTACTTTACCAGTAGCTTTCTGGTGAGTGCATAGCCATTAGTGGTGGTGGATTCCCTCACTGGATTAAGAACACTTTTTTGGAAATTCAACACTGGTATTGCTGTGCCTTGTAGTACCACGGACACTTCCTTCATTAGTGTTTCTACACTTTATTTTATTATTGGATGGACATATATGTATCACTTTATTACTGTTTACATACTTTATTGGCAACTTTGTTCATGTGTTCATATTGTCATTTTTGCACCTAATGATGACATTTAACGTTTAGAGCTGCACTTTATTATATATGTTTTATGGCATTTGTTGCCTTTACAGTTTGTGCTAGTAGCTTTTTAGATTTCAGTGCTCACCATATATTTTGCATGTACAAATAGAGTTGCTGAAAGATGTGATAGGAAGTGAACTTACAAATCCACCTTGGAGATGAAAGTTGCAGTTTATTCATAAAGGTTCTGGTGGTGCTAGGGAGTGCTGAAAGACATTTAGAGGAACAAAAAATAATCTCATGCTATGGATAGTTTGTGATTCCAGCTAGTTATTCCTATGTTATCAGTTAAAAAGGAATACAAGTTTTTTATGCCCAATGCTTAAAGACCTGGAGCTCCTGGAAAATAGAAATTATAGAGGTATATCCCAGCTATGCTCTGTATATAAAATTGTAGATCCTCACGAAGCTGCACAGCTAAAACCACATGTCAGAAAGGAGCTAGAAGAATGGACGGGCAGGTGTTAGGACTGAAAGGTCAACTACAGATCAAATATTTCCTTTGATGAGAATATTTGAGTGTGGAATAGAAATGTGTCATCTGCTGATTTTAAAGCGCCATATTCTTGTGTTACTCACACAGGTGTAAATAGTCTTGAAAGTATTGGCGATACCGGAAATGATCATTGGGATAGTAAAGCATAACTGTAGCATGGTCAAGAGTGGCCAGATCTTGCCATAATGTGCAGATGTACAAAGTATACATTCAAATTGTAACAGACTTGCCTCTGGGTTTGCCCTCCTCTGACAATGACAGCTCCATGATCCCCATTGGTTATTGAGCAGTTACCAATGATGTAACTCAAGCCTAAAGTGGGATACACACTATGAGAAAATCGGACAAGCTATCGTCTAGTTTTCCACAAAGGTGCATACCATGATGGTAACCGACAAAGGTATAAACGTGTAATAAAATTCTGGAACAACAAAGGCAAACATTCCATCTTGTGTTCTATTTCCATGTCCGTTGCTACCTTCTTCCGGGACGTTCTTTGCTTCTGATCATGTGCATTTTTTCTATTTGATTATTTCTGTACAATTACTGTACACTTTGAGCAAAAATTGAACATTGTGCTCATGTACGATAAAAATATTGTCTAGTTTGCATTTTTTTTTTTTTTTTCATCGGCATCAGCTGTCGAAAGCACTATACTGACAATCAGGCCACTTGATAATGCTTGTCTCTGTGGTTGCCTTGACCTAGCAAGTCTCCCGACACCTCTGACACTCTGGGTTCAGACATATTTAAACAGTATAGAATAATAATGCAAGAGAAACAATTCTTTAGTAACCCCTCTATATTAGGCTTGTTTAAAAAAAGTAGGCTACAGTAATAATAAGTTTAGGATATACAACTCTAGTTAACCCATAAAAGCAGAACACTGGTAAAATAGGAATAATCAATTTAACAATGTTTACAGGTTATACCAGGGGTCTGCAACCTTTAAGACATAAAGAGCCACTTGGACCCGTTTCCGAGAGGGAAAAAAAGACTGGGAGCCGCAAAACCATTGCAACATTTAAAACAAATCCGACACTGCATATATTGCAAAAAGTGCTCTGGTCATGAAGGGGGTTTAGGGGCCCAGTAAGCAAAGGGTTAATCAGGGCCACAGTGTATCCTCATAATCACAATCATAGCCTTAGGTCAGTGGTGGGCAACCTTTTTTTTCAACTGAGCCAAATCTCGCCAAAACCACGATTGAAATTTATTTTGAGAGCCACATTTTTAAAACTGAAAATACATCCCCCATATAGTAATTCATCCCCCATAGTAATTCATCCCCCATATAGTAATTCATCCCCCATATAGTAATTCATCCCCCATATAGTAATTCATCCCTCATAGTAATTCATCCCCCATATAGTAATTCATCCCCCATATCAAGTCCCCCCTGTGTCAATTCACTTACCTTTGCTCCGCGCGTTCCTCTCGCCGTGTTCCCGCGCCGTTCCGGTGTAGCATGAAAATCTGTCTCCTATGAGGATCTGTCCCCCTCGACGTATCTGCGCATGTGCCAGTTTCAGGCATTAGCAGCCGATCGGCAATCTCCGGCACATGCGCAGATACGTCGAGGGGGACAGATCCTCATAGGAGACAGATTTTCATGCTACACCGGTCTTCAGGGCAGGCTGTGAGAGGAGCCTAGCGGGAGCCTAGCTCCGCGGGCCGGATTAAAAGGTCCGCCGGGCCGTAGTTTGCCCATTGCTGCCCTATTGCCTGTCACCTGGTGGGCAGTGTGCTCCGGAGCCGCAGCCAAGGTGAAAAACACCCGGGTTATACAGTCATGTGTATTAAGCTTCAACTATTTAATTGCAAAACCAGCAGCAGGAGGGGAAAGAAAAGCTCAACTCCCTCTGTGCCACCAGCGCCACAACAAGGCTTAGCAACAACCAAATGGGGTTCAAACTCAAAATCATTATCAGCTTTGGGCCTTACCACCGGGCCTTCATACTGATAGGTGGATGAGCTGTTTCGGCTTTAACTTTGGTAGTGTCCACAGGTGTGGGGGAGATGGCCACTCCTGGCTCTGATGCTTCTCCTCCTGTGGGAGAGGTGTCATTATTCTCCTGAAACTGTGGCCACAAGCAATCAGGCATCTCTTCTCCATCACTTTCATCCTCTTCCTGTGTTTGAATGTTAGTTTGACTTTGCCAGCGTGATTTAGGCCTAAGGTTACATGGTTTGATTGCTTCGGAGTCAGGAGGCTGAGATATTCGGATGGCATCTGAAAAGGGCAGCAAGTAATTTTGGTGCCTCATTTTCAGCAGGCCTGTTTTTCCTTCAAAGCAGATTTGATAAACTAGCAGCCGGGGGATTTGCTTTTTCAGACAATATAGTGTTGGGATCACCAGTGATCAGCCAGCTTGTGTTTTCCTGAGTACTCCCAGCACACAATCCCCCAGCTGAAGGTCTTGCATGTTCACCTTGAGGTCAAAGTTCCTTTGCGTTTGTGTGGTTAGTCTCTTTTGCCTTCCCATAGGCGTGTTTAAAATTTTTCTGTAGTCAGTCAACATACCCCTTGTATGAAGTCTGGAATTTGTGATCCATGGAGGTTCCAAAAGCTAGGTCAACTGGTAGTCGAGCTTCTTTCCCAAACCTTAATCTGTATGGGGAATACCCCATGGCATCATTAATCGTGCGTTTGTAGGCATGACCTACAGCTGCAATATGATTTCCCCAAAGCGGTTTCATCTCACTTGGGCAAGAAGGGGCATTATTATTATTATTATACAGTATTTATAAAGCGCCAACAGTTCACTCAGCTCTGTACATTACAATGGGAGACAGAACATGCGACAGTACAATAACAATACAATGTGATACACGAGGGGTTCGAGGGCCCTGCTCTTTCGGTGCATCAAGAGCCACCACACACAGACGGATCCTGGACATGGGCTTCAAATGTCGTATTCCTCTTGTCAAGCCACTCCTGAACAACAAATAACGTCAGAAGCGTCTTACCTGGGCTAAAGAAAAACAGACCTGATCTGTTGCTCAGTGGTCCAAAGTCCTCTTTTCTAATGAGAGCAACTTTTGCATCTCATTTGGAAACCAAGGACCCAGAGTATGGAGGAAGAATGGAGAGGCACACACTGCAAGATGCTTGAAGTGCAGTGTGAAGTTTCCACAGTCTGTGTTCATTTGGGGAGTCATGTCATCTGCTGGTGTTGGTCCACTGTGTTTCAATAAGTCTAGGGTCAACGCAGCCGTCTACCAGGAGATTTTGGAGCACTTCATGCTTCCTTCCGCAGCCGAGCTTTATGGGGATGCTGACTTAATTTTCCAGCAGGACTTGGCACCTGCCCACACTTTCAAAAGCACCAAAACCTGGTTCAGTGTCCGTGGGATTACTGTGCTTGATTGGCCAGCAAACTCGCCTGACCTGAACCCCATAGAGAATCTATGGGGCATTGCCAAGAGAAAGATGAGAGACATGAGACCGAACAATTCAGAAGAGCTGAAGGCCGCTATTGAAGCATCCTGGTCTTCCATAACACCTCAGCAGTGCCACAGGCTGATAGCTTCCATGCCACGCCGCATTGAGGCAGTAATTGCTACAAAAGGGGCCCAAACCAAGTACTGAGTACATATGCATGCTTATACTTTTCAGAGGTCCAATATTATTCTATGTACAATCCTTGTTTTATTGAGTGCATGTAATCTATATTTCTGAGATTGTGGATTTGGGGTTTTCATGAGCTGTAAGCCCTAATTATCACAATTATGACAAATCACGGCTTGAACTATCTTACTTTGCATGTAATGAGTCTATCTCATATATTAGTTTCACCTTTTAATTTGCATTACTGAAATAAACTTTTGCACGATTTTCTAATTTTTCGAGTTTCACCCGTATACCTGTATCACCGAGTCTACACTTTCTTTATTGGAAGCAGATTTTGGCAGTTCTCTCGGTTCTTGATTTTTCTCGTCTAATAAAGCTTCCTCCTCTCTCACTAATTCTGGGAAAGTGGGGGTTACTTGTGATCCCTTGAGTAATATTTTCATCACAGTTCCCCGGGAATCAATCCCTTTCTTTAGGGTTATCTGATGTAGAATTTTATCTACTCAAGTAATGTATTCAGAAAGTCTCTCACCCCTAACTTGATGAGTGTATTCGAATTTATACAAAAGGTCTGGAGGTTTTTCCACTCGG